CTGTCTCTAAAAAAAAAAAAAAAAAAAAAAAAAGCTAAGTGACTTGACAAGTCACCCTAAAATATCTTTGTAGCATTTTGAAAGCACTGACCCAGGTCTCAGCAGGTCTGTATCCCAAAACACTCATTGCCTACCCATGGATGTGGAAGCTGAGAGATCACACTAAAGAGTGACTTCCAGACAGAATTGAGTCAGTTTTGTGTGGCCTGTCCCAAACCAGAGGGACCAATACCTCCCTTGGAGGTGTGGCCCCTTCTTGTGCCCTCTTCTCACCCTGCCCCTGCTCAAGGCATCATCCTCCCCCAAGCTGAGAGTATTCCCTGTGACATCATAAAAGCCAGTTGCCATGGGAAGCCTGCAAACTCACCCCCTAGGCAGGGGAGAACAGGGCCCTGCTGCATAGGAGGCCTGGCCGCTCCTCCCTCACCACACTGGCCCTCCATGGAAGCCTTGGTCTGTGCGTTCTCTGAGCTTCGCATAAGAGAAGGTGCTGGGCTGCAGGGAAGAATAGCAGGAGGAGCAATGTCATCTTGTCCCTTCTGGGCCCAAAGTCACTGGGGTGTCCTCAGGGACATGTATTCTTGAGAGGGCAGGTCTCTGGTCCAGGCTATGTGAGCTTGGGCTGGTCACTTCCTCCTGAACTGACTGCAATTTCCCTACTGGGATAAGAATACTCTTTCTAGGGTAGGGGCCACAATGGGGTGGAATGAGTGCTTTCGTTTTGAAAGGGATTTTGGTACCCAGGTTCCAAGCTTCAGAGACCTCCCTGAGGCTCGGCACCTGTGGCTCAACCAGCTAAGGCGCCAGCCACATACACCTGAGCTGGTGGGTTCGAATCCAGCCTGGACCCGCCAAACAACGACGGCTGCAACCAAAAAATAGCCAGGCGTTGTGGCGGGTGCCTGTGGTCCCAGCTACTTGGGAGGCTGAGGCAGGAGAATCGCTTGAGCCCAGGAGTTGGAAGTTGCTGTGAGCTGTGATGCCATGGCACTCTACCCCGGGCGACAGCTTGAGGCTCTGTCTCAAAACAAAGACCTCCCTGATGATTAAGGGAGAGAAGAGGAGCAGTATGTTGGGCACACGCAGTGGGGAGCCAGGGGACTGAGACTATGTGACAGACAGCTAAGCCGAGGCTGGGCAGGCTGGGGTAGAGCCCTCCATGTCCATGTGAGTAGGTCTCAGAATCATACGGCTGTGTTCTCCATCATAGCTGCTTTGGCCAGCGGGCCACCACCCTCCCACTCTCCCCCTGCAGATGCAGTGAGCTGGGCCCAAGGACACCCCAGCCACCCTGACACACCTCCCAACATCTACGAGGGGGGACTGGGGACCCAGCAGCAGCAGTGCCCCAGTGCCCAGGGAAGCAAGCCCAAGAACTTCCGGCTGCGCCACCTCCGGGGCCTGGCTCTCTACCTGCCAGGTCACATGCAGCCTGCAGGCCAGTGTGAGAGTCACTGGCTGGGCCGGCTCATGGCGGGAGGCTGCCTGCCACAGCCTGAGGGCACACCCTGGTCCCTGGACTTGCCACAGGGGACTCTGGGCCCAGGTAACAGCCATTGCTCAGCCCTTCTGGAAGCCCAATTGCCCAGGGACAGCCTGGGAAACACAGGTGAGGCAGGTCTGAGCATAGACGGTAAGATCCTGGGGGTTAGGGGCTCAGATGGACCTTTCTTCCTTTCCAAGTCCCCTAGGGAGGGAGCCTTATGGAGACTTTTGGCCAGGACACTCCCACAGTGACATTACGCTCCAGGAGGCCATTATCCTAACAAATCTGCTCCCATACCTAGGCCAGCTGAGGGAAGGGGCTGTGAGGTAAAGGGAGGTTCTGGGTTCTAGGTTCCTGTCCCAGGTCTGTATTCAATGTAGGACTTTGGACAAGTCTCTCCCTCACTAGGCCCGTTCTCCAACTTGTAAAATGAAGGGTTCAGGTTGGATGAGGGTCTTTTCCATCCTGAACCATTCACTTCCTTCTTCCTCCCTCCGCTGAGAGTTCTCTCAGGGAATTACTGCCCCTCTTGTTCTGAAGGACATTAGGGTCTAGGGAATCCCTAGGGCTGCCAGTGTTTCCTTGGTTTCCTCCCTGTGACTTCTTTCTTTCCTTTTTCCTCAGCTTCCAGCTCCAGCATGGACCCAGCCAAGGGTGCCCCTTCCCAGCCCAGTCCCCCTGAGGGCTTGGGGCTCAGGCCCAAAAGGTCTTGGGGGGCCTCGGAAGAGGCCATGTGTCCCTTGTGCAAGAAAACCCGCTCTGGGGCCCTGGAGAGGCTGTAGGGATCCTGAGTGCCAGGTGTGGGGACAGGAGGAGAAAGATGGCCAAGGAGGCTGGTCCAAATCAGAATGGCTCAGCCCCCAACAGTGGCCCCCCTGCACACTGAGATGGCCCAGGCAGCTGTGTAGCACCAGAGCCTGTGCCAGCCTAGGGATGTGTGAGGGGGGAGGGAGGACGACGCCCCAAGGGAGGGACAGAAGAAATAGAAGCATGGCTGTGCCCTTGCAGCCTGCTCAAACTCAAGTCAGCCACTTGATGCTGGGAGGCAGGGCCAAGCAGAGAATCTGTTCCAGAGAGGCCTGGGAACCCTCAGGTCTAATCTCAATAAAAGCCAAGGCCTGCACCTTCTTGTCAGTCTGTCTGCCATCATGCCAGTTCAGAAAAATAGCCTGTGTGGCCCCCAGGGCTGGGTCTGCAGCACTCCCACCCTGGGATCTTAAGAGTAGGCAGAGCTTCAACATGCCTTGTGAGGAGTGTCAGTCTAGGCGAAGGGGCAAAAAGGACAAAAAAGGCCCGGAACTAGGGACAGACCAAGGAAGGCCAGGCAGTTAAGGGAAGAGAGTAGCCCAGGCAGAACTGTTGGCTTGGAGCCCAGGCTGTCTCTCTGGGGGTGTGAGTTCACTGCTCTGTGGACCTCAGCCCCTCCAGGCAGGACAAGCACAGCCCTCTCCTCTCACTGGCCTGGCTCCAGGCCTCAGGGCGTGAGATTCCTCTACCCCAGTGTCTCAGCCTTGCAGGCGAACTTTGGAGACCAAGCCATTCTTTCCTGTGTGTTGGAAGATGTTTAGCAGCATTTCTGGCTCCTACCTGCTAGGTGTCAGTACTGGTTTCCTGAAACCTTTGGTTTCGACTCCTTTGGGGGTTGAATGACCCTTTCACAGGGGTCACCTAAATACATCCTGCATATCGGATATTTACATTACGATTCATAACAGTAGCAAAATTTCAGTTATGAAGTAGCAACGAAAATAATTTTACCGTTGGGGGGGTCACCACAACATGAGGAACTGTATTAAAGGGTCCCGGCATTAGGATGGTTGAGTACTGTCTTAGGGGCACAATCCCTCCTGTTGAGAAGCCTTGCTCTGCAGCACTGTGCCTCAGTTTTGGGGGGAACAGGCACTAGGGCTGAGCACTGCCCCTCCTTTGGGCTACTGCCAGACCATGTGTGATGGTGTCCAGGACAGCTGATGCCCTTCCCTTTCCCTATACATTGGCTCCACCCTAGACATCTCCTAGGACCCTGGGACAGCAGATCTGGGAGATTTCCATCTTTGGGTGGTTTTTAAATTGTTTTAAGCATGTGGGTGTGGCCCTGGGTGGTGGGAGCCTGAGGCTGTAGCAGCCTCCAGGTGATAGCAGGCATTTGGACACTACCCCCAAGAATGCTGTGACCAGACAGGTGTGGGAGGGATGCAGATGGCCATAGGCCCACCTGAGTCACCCATATGAGTTGCCTTCTCTTGCTCTCACAACACTCTCCCCTGGATGTAGAGGCCAAAGGCCCACTACTCAAGACAGGTATTAAGGAGGTTACTAAGGGAACACAGAGGGACACATGCCCTAGGCACCAGCTGAGGATGCTGGGCAGAAGTGAGACCACCCAGAAGCTGGCAATACAAAGTCCCTGGAGATCATCAGAAGCCTAATCTACTTACTTCTGAATGAAGAGGTGAGGCTCAGAGAGGAACAGATTGCCCCCACTGCCCAGATTTTAGGACACGCAAGCTGTGTTTACTGGTCACTCTGGTGATCCCTGATGAGCCACACATATGTCCTGGTATTCTGCTCCTTCAACGTTCTTTCCCCTTGTTGAATTGGGACTTGCCCTGAGTCTTGCTTTACTAGTAGAAGTGGAAGTGAAATGGTGTCTTCTGGCAGCTTTCAGGGGAGGTCAGTGACCAGAATGTCCTGAGACTGCTGTACAGTGGGAAACCACCTAGCAGAGGAGGCCCCAGGGAGGGAACAAGCTGAGCCATGGCCATGGCCACATTTGCTGCCAGCTGCCCTGTGAGCAGGGCCATCTTGGACTTAGATCCTTCAGCCCAGCTGGCCTCCTCCAGCTGATGCCACCTAGAGTAGACACTCTACCTGTTAACTCCTGTTCCAACTGCAGAACTGTGAACAGATAGGATGGCTGTGGCTCAGGCTGCTAAATTTTCAGGTTGTTACACAGCTGGATAAACAGCTCACAGTCTTAACCCATGAAAGACATCTGCTGCACCCACATGTTGGCCACAAAGAAAATTGGCTCTAAACCACCTTCAGTTTCTCCCTAAAACTTCCCAGATATATATATATATTTTTTGACAGTCTATGTCGCCCTTAATAGAGTGCCATGGCATCACAGCAACCTCAAACTCTTGGGCTTAAGTGATTCTCTTGCCTTAGCCTCCCAAGTAGGCACCTGCCACAATGCCTGGCTTTTTTGGCTGTAGTTGTCATTGTTGTTTGCCAGGCCGGGGCTGGGTTTGAACCTACCAGCCCTGGTATAAGTGGCTGGCGCCCTAGCTGCTGAGGTATAGGCGTTGAGTCTCACAAAGCTTTCTTGAAAAGCACTCCAACAGGTTGGCAAGCAGAAAAGCCACAGCTATGGCATGCTGGAGATGAGTGTGGAGGAGCGCCCTCGGCCCAAGCAGATGGACATTGTCTAGCCCTGGGGCACACCCCTCACCCTACGAGTCCCTGAATGCCCACTGGGCTGGGAGCTGAGCAATCAAGAGTCTTAGTCCTTGAGGAGACAAGTGACCTAGAGGCATAAGGCCCCTCGTGTGGGCTGCTGAGAAGTCTCCAGGCCCCTGGCTCTGCAACAGATTCTTGAGCAGTGTGTATAGGTACAGAGGAGACTGGCCTCTATTGCAGGGTGAGGCTGGAGCAGAGCTGGTCCCCTTGAGGGCTGGTCTGTAGTCTGTGTCAGTGTCTTGCTCCTTGTGGGAGTCACAAAGAGCCTGCAATTTCTGATCTGGAGTGGGGCTGGAGGCCCAAAGTGGGGCTTTGGCAAGAGGCAGGCCCAGAGCAGGGGCTAGCTGGTCCTGTCTGACCTCACTGAAGCAGGGAGGCCATGGCTGCCTTCAGAGCAGGGCTTCAGCTGGAACCCCACCTGGGCAAGTTGACATTTCGTCACACAATCAACCAAGGGCCCCAAGGAGACAGCCCTTAATTGGGACATTGAACCAACATCAAAGGAGAACATGGTCCTTTCCTGAGCAACCAAGAACTTACGTGCTGCTGCAGGCCAGGCTGGGCTGGTTCCTTTCATTCCACAAGTCCCATGGCTTCAGACACAATGTCCACTGTGTCTAGCTTGCTGACATTCTGGGTGCCAGTTCTTACCCTGACTCCACTTAGCAGGTGCCCCAGACCCTGTCCCTGGCATGTCCCCCAGCTGCCAGAGGTCAGAGATGTGTGAACAATGTAAAGGGAACAGCACATGTAGGCTACAGGAGGTCCTGATCTGGGCTGGATGCTTGGGTCACTATCCACAAAGCCTCCTAAGCCAGTTCTCTTGTTTCTAACAGGGACAACATAGCTGGCTCCCTCCAAGGAGTCCAGAATTTCAATGACAGGCTGGTGGAACCACCTAGTCCTGTGCTTGGCTAGCACCCATCTTAGGCTCCTGCAGCTAGCTACACTGGCCCAGGTTCTCCAACTGACTGTGAGGCTGAATAGAGCCTTCAGAGAGAAAGCTATAGAGCTGCCACCTGGACCAGGCCCCCCTTTCAAGGCCCAGAGCCAGGGAGACACTTGGACAGGCAGGTAGCTGCTGAGGACCCTTTCATTAAATAGAAGGAACCCAGCTGTGCCTTTCAACTTTTTACAATCTCTTCCTCAGGTTCACAGTCTTTGTCAGGGTTAATGACACAAAACAATCAGCCCATTTGGCTGGAAGCCATCCTTGGGATTTGCCAGTGACAAGCAGATCCCTGCCATTCCCAGCCACTGCTGCAAAGAAGGTGAATCCACAGGGGCAAGGTCCAAAGTGTAGCCAGGGAGAAGCTGGGAACAGAATGTGACCAATTAAGGTCTATTTATTTGTAATGAGACAAAACACTACAATCGTTCAACACTGGGCTGGACACTGCAGTGACTGGAGGGCAGGGCAAGGCCTCTGAGCTCAGTTATGATGTCCAAGGCAGAACCTTTCAGAAGACTCTTCCCATACCCCATGGGGCAGAAATAAAAATCACATGATCACCATTGATTCAGAATAAAGAAGACACCCAGTGGACCCTCAGCAGGCAGCCAACAACAGCAGAAGTTCAGACCAGTGAGCATTCAAGGGAGGGGATGGTTTCCTGCCCAGGGTTTACCTTCATCTTGAGGACCCTGTCCCTCTGCTGTGAGGATAGGAGACAGCACCCTGGGCTGGTCCCAGAATCTTAAGACCTCTGGGCGGGGAAACTCTGGGGGAGGGAAGAACTCAGGACAGAGACCCATCTGCCCAGGCTGTTCCCCCTATTCTTTCTCCTCTGGTTGGCACAGTGTGGTGCTGCTAGGACCCTCTGCCATGGCTCTTGTGACACTGGGTGTGACTGACCCCTACTCCCAGCTGCTCTGGAGAGCAAGGCAGGCAGCAAGTGGCTTTAGGGTAGTAAGGTGGAGGGGATGCTAGAAGCATGGATGCATGACTGCTGCAAGCACACTTCACAGCACTGACACAGCCTCTCTGTTCTGAGGGCCTACAAGGCAGGTAACTGCCCCTGATCCCAAGGCCAGGCTCTGCAAGACCCATGGCAGCCTTGAATCCTGACTTCGAGCTCAGCTTCCTCCTATCTGTCTCTGGGCAGGCCTTGCAGCTGCAGCTCATAAAGGATGAGAGCTGGGGAGAGGCCCCTGGAGCTTCAGTGGCACCTGTCCCTCAGCCCAGCTCCCAGCAGCAGATCAGCTGAGTAGAGCACTCCATGATCCAATGGGAAGGGCAATTGGCCTGGGGCAGCAGGAAATGTACAGCAGGAGGCGCTGCAGAGGGGGAACTGTCCCATAGTCTGACCACTGGTGCAGGGGAGCTGAGCTCCAGAGCTCTTTGCTCCTGTGAAAAGCCTCCTCCACTGTGCCCTCCCCTTGCCAGCCCCTCATAGAGGGGCTGCACCACCCCCCACCCTCTAGGCTTCATGGCACTGATTCTGGATGGGGGCCTGGCAATCCCTTTATTGTGCCCCCTTGTTCTCAGGCTCCTATGTCCACAATATTTGTGTTCCTCCCTCTTTGCAGAAAGATCCCTACAGCTTTGCAGGAAGGAGCTGAAGGAATGAGCAGTGCAGTGGGAGTGGCCTGGTTAGGGAGGCCTTTTTCCAGTGACCACAGCCATACCCGAGCCACCCATGAAGATGGTGCATGCACACAGAGGCAGGACCAGGGTGCCAGGAAGAGGTGGAGGGCAGAAGTTTCCAGAAGCAGGAAGGAGAGCCAGAGAGCCTGTGGGAAAGAGAAGATCAGGGCAGGGTGAAGGCATGACAGAGGAGCTCCCTCTACCTGTGCCATCCTGCCTATGAGCACAGCTGGGCCTAGGTTCCCCAAGTACAAGCCTCCTCCAGGCCCACGGGCTCCTGTGGGTCCCAGAATAAAGGCACCAATGATGCCAAACTCAAGTGGTCATGGAGCTTGCTGTGTGGCTTTGGTCCAAGTCACCAAGTCTTCTGGGTTGTGCTAGTACACAAAAAGGCAGGCTCTGGAGGCTCCTTGGCCCTGTCCAGCTCTGAAGTTCCAAGACCTGGGAGAGACCTGCTCCCTGGGGTACTCGTGGTGACCAAAAGTGGCCGTGTCTGAGCAGAGCACTCACGTACAAGCTGACCACCAAGGGAAGCTGACATGAAGCTTCGGTTTGAGAATGATGTGTGCAGAGGAGATGGCAGCAGTGGAACAGTTCTGGAAGCACACCCAAGATGCAGGTGTACTGGGCACCTCTTGCCATGGGAACTTGAACAACTAGGGGACAGAGATAGGAGGGACTCGATCTTTTTGTATTTCCTATTTTTGAAGAGGAAAATGAGATTGCAGTATTTTAACATAAAACAGCAGCTCCAGAAATGAAAACGTTATCTGGCCATAAGCTCAAGGCGTCTTTGGCCACCTGCTTTCCTTCATGAAGTTTCCAGTCAGTCAGAAACTACCCCGCCCTTGGCTTTCCAACCTCCTGCTCAGCAGGTGCCTGTCTGGGGCTGTGTTTTTTGTGGTTGGAAGTGCCAGGCTCCCATGCCCTATGTCTGCACTGGCATACCTGTTGGAGACTGGACGCACCTTGAATGAGCCCACGACACTGCTCCCGAGCCCATGTAGCACCGGGCCTGCAGCTGGGGCAGGCCAACGGGCCCGGCAGGTGGCCACTAGCTCCTTGTGGAGGACAGCAAGGGTCAGATGAATGGGAAGGCAGGCTCTTCAGGGTGATGAGGGACAGGCCCTGGAGGAGGCTGCCCGGCTGGTATCACATGGTCCGGCTGTACTCGATGCCACCTTTGGTAGAAATGCCCGACCATGGCAGGAAGCTGCAGAGCAGGCTGTGGGCCTGGCGGTAGACCCTGTGCGGGATGGAGCAGGGGCTCAGGCTGGCTAGTGCAGAGCCCAGGTGCTGGATGTAGTCCGTGGGGCTCTGTTAAGGAAGACTCAGTTGCCCTCACCTGCCCATACTCTCCTGGGCACATGGTCAGCTGGGGCCAGCATGACGATCTATAGGACTATAGATAGTACAGACAGCATGCCACGGTAAGGGAGGCTGAGAACCCACTAAGTCTCAGCAAAGCGCAGGAAAGGCTAATTAGGTGGAGGGGCCCTCAGTGCACAAAATCATAAAGGGTGGGACCTAGAAACAGGAGGACCTCCTGGTTGAGGCCCCAGGCATGTGGGACACCTGAACCAAGGGATGGACAGGGAGTGGGGGAGGGGTCTAGCAGAAAAGCAAGTATTTCTGGTTCTCCTCAGACTCAACCCTCAGGGCAACAGAAGGAACAGACAGCCCTGTCCCTCTAACAAGGATCAATTGCTCTGATCCCCTGGACTCCTACCAGGGCCTGCCTATATGTGAGCTAGGAGGCCTGTCAGGTTTGGGGTCCCCTCTTTCTTCCCTGTTTATTTCCCTATGAAATGAATAAATCCTAAATTCATTCATTTGAAAATATGCACACAACAGCATTTCTGGGGCCATACTCTCTGTGACTATTATGACGTTTCCTGGCATCCTTCCTACCTGTCAAGGGCCAGAGGTAAGGAGGAAGGAAGAGGTGAGGGCTGCCTTTGATCATACACCAATAAGGATAGTTACAACTCATGTGTTCAAAAACACTAAAAAACCCTTACCTCACTTGTCTTCCCCTTTTCTAGCATACAGGCTCGACAAGGGCAAGGCTTTTGCCTGCTTTGTACATTGTTATCCCCAGTATTTGTTGAATGAACAGATGGATGAGTGGATCTTGGGACAAGAGGGGGCCTCATGCCAGGCTAAACTTTGGGGAACAGTGAGTGCCAAAGAATATCTGCTTTCTTAGTGTGTGCAACCAGATTTACCCACAACACGATCTGGATGGGGAAAAGAGCATCCACTAGTTTGGCTGTTTGAACATCACTTGAGGATGACCACAGCTCCAACTAGCTCACTGGCTCTGTCACCCTTACAGCTAAGAAGTCATAGTCCCACACACCCAGAAGGAAAGGATATAAAATTGTCCAGGGAGGGTGGCCGCCATTGATGTAGAGGACGTAGGTGAAGCCATCTTTGAGTACCCCTCGGATGGAATAGTAATAGGGGAGATAGTGATGCTGTTTAAAGTCTCTGTTCTCGTAGAAGTTTATTGCTGTATTGTTGGTGGTGAGGACATGCAGGTAAATGGCTTTGCAGTGGTCCTGGGCAGTGGTTGATATGTGATCCTTTAAACTTTCAAGTAAGAGGGAACCTTGGGGGAAAGAGGGGAAGGTTATGCAGTCAGGGCAGGAGGAAGGACGATGTGGATATGAACAGAACCTTCATAGGAGCCTCCTAAGAGTCTATCCTCTGTTGTCAGAGATCAGTCTCCTCTCACCACCCACTGTCAAAGCCCAGAGAATCTCATTGCTAGATGGAATGTGTCAGCCACAGCCCTCCACCTTCAGCGAAGACTCATTTCTAGGTAACAAAAAGGGTGAACTTGAGCCCAAGAAAACATGGAATAGACCTGGGTTAAAAATTAAGACTCTGGCCAGGCATGGCGGTTCATGTTGTAATCCTAGCACTTTGGGAGAGCTAGATGGGTAAATTGCTTGATCCCAGGCATTCAAGACCAGCCTGAGCAAGAGTGGGACTCCCACATGTACTAAAAATAGAAAAGTTAGCTGGGTGTTGTGGCAGGTGCCTGTAGTCCCAGTTACTTGGGAAGTGGAGGTAAGAGGATCACTTGAGCCCAAAAGACTGAGGTTGCTGTGAGCTATGATGATGCCATGGTACTTTACCCTGGGTGACAGAGTGAGACTCTGTCTTACAAAAAAAAAAAAAAGACTCTGCTACTCTCTGGCTGTGTGGCCCAGTGGGATAGGAATTTGATGACATGGGCAATAAGTTGTGCTGAGTATTTCTTCTTCCTTTATGTTTATGGTTCCTACTCTGAACCAAGAACCCCAGTCAACAGACATAAGTTGTACACATGGTAGCAGGAGGGGTGATGGGCTTGTTCCTTCGAGAGGGCAGCCTGGGAACTGGTGTTAATCTGATCATGTCAGATTTGAAAAGGAGGCTACTGCAGACAGTCCGGCTGAGGACAGAGGGAGAAGGTCTGATGAGGATGAAGGAAGAGACTTAGAGACATCCTTGAGCCAGAGTTGTCACGATGAGGGAAATGGCTGGGCTAGGCTGGGTTGGGTGGATGGGGCTGGGTGTACCAAACCATGAGCTCTGCTGACCCTTACCTATGCCATGCTTCCTGAATTCTTTCACTACTCCCAGACTCAGAATGTACGCAACTTGTGTGTCAACAGAGAAGTTGGAGGCTAGAATATCTCCATCCTAAAGGAAAAGTCAAAGATAAAATCAGGTTAACATTCAAGGCACACAGGCTAACTGCAGAGCCCAGCCCAGGAGGTCTACATGCCAACTTCTCAGCTACTACACTGAAGGGACATGTGCAGCAACAAGAGTCACCCCACCTCCCTACAGAGGTTCACTAACCTCTAAATAAAACCTAGCATTCCCTTCCACAAACCAAAGCGGTATTAGCAGTTTCTATGACACTACCACCAATATAAATTAAGGATATTTTTGTATCACATTACAACTGTGCCTATTCTCAATGTATCATCTATGCTCATCCCCACTTCAGAATGATGTAGTTACTAGGCCTTGTAACTTCACATGTGAATAAAAGCATGTGTGTTACAATTGATGCACATACAAAAAGATGAGCTGGGGATGAGTCTCACTTGCTGCTCTGGACTCCTCAGGTCATAAGCTCCTTAGACAAAGGGCTGAAGCAGGCCCGATTGCATCACAAGCCCCTTCATTCCTGTGCAGCAGCAGTGACTGCCACACACACGTACCTCTTTATGTATCTTGGTCCTGTTTTTAATTTCCGCTACTATCATTCCCACAATGGCGCCTCTGTAGGTTGCAGCAAGGGAAAAGAACTTCTTGTTGGATGTGATATCACGATACCATGAGTCTGGGTACCTGAGGGAGAGAACACAGGCAGGTGAACTTCCCAAAGGTCTACTCCAACTAATGCTATGCTTTGGCTATTAGAATCATGGGGGGCTCCAGGCTGCTTCTGCTCGTTGCTCTGGGGCTGATAAGTAGTTTGTCCAACACTTACTCTCTACCTGTCACAGTTATCTTTTTTTTTTTTGGCAGTTTTTGGTCGGGGCTGGGTTTGAACCCGCCACTTTCGGCATATGGGGCCAGTGCCCTATAGCAACAGGCGACACCCCACAGTTATCTTTTTAAAACAGTGGTATGTCCAGATAGAACTGAGAATTTCTGATGGGAAAAATAATTTTACCAGACATAAAATATGAGAGGGGGAAAAAACTTCAATGTTTGATTACATGAGAATAATTCACATAGGGTCAGTGGAACATGGCTCATTCCTCAGTCAGGAAAGTTAAGAGCCCCTGGTAGCCCATAAGAATTCTGTGAGAATTTTTAACACCGAAGACTATGAGGTGGTGAAGAAGAGCCAGGTTCACAGATGAGTGGCAGGACAGGAAGGGGTCTGCTCTTAAGGGCAATGTGTGGCCAGAGCTGCTCATGAAGAACAAAGGCCAAGACCCCTCAAGGGGAACAGGGAAGAGAACATCGGGTGTTGAGGTCAACAGGCAGATCCAGCCACATCCCCAGACAGATGGGCAGGAAGACAGAGGCGTTGGGGTTTTATGGGCATGTGGGTTTTGTTTTGTCACCTCACAGTCCAGTGAGATGACAGTTCATGTCACATCTTGGGAACTCAAGGCCTCAAGCCCACAAAGCTATGAGGAGAGGCAGGCAGGCTGGTCACCTCGGGAGGCACAGAGGCCCATGGACCAGTGTGGCTCCATCTGGCAAGGTCTTATCTATGAACACACTGGCAAGTTTCTGTTTCTGGATTAGTTTTCAGCAGGAGGACTGCTGGGCTGCAGAAGTTTCTTAACTTGTAAAGCTCCTGCCAGTGCCTATACACAGCAGGCTGTGACAGTTTGTACTTCTACAGACATACTGGAGAGGTCCCTGTCCCCAGCCTTCCTGCCAACAGCATAAGGTTAATACCCATGGAAATACTGGTGGTTGGCAGGATCTTTATTTTCTTATTTGTTTTGGGTTTTTTTTGAGTCTTCATTATAATTCAGTTTTCTGAGTTATAAATAAACAGCATGGCACTGAACATCTATGTAACTCAAGTTTCCCAAAAGAGCCCTTCCGGGGAGCTCTTCACATGGGGACATGGTGATGTGAAAAGGGCCAGGAACAGACAAGAGAGGAACAGAGGCCTGGGGTCTACAATGTGCTGGGCAACTAGGGAAGACACCCCACTCGGACTCCTCTATGCCTATCCTTGGCTTTGCAGTATAGCCCTAGGGTCCCAAAGGCCTCTCCCAGCATCAGCACCTGCCGATTGTCTGACTCCCCTGACCCTGTGGTCTACTGTGGTTACACAGGTGCTGCTCCACTTACTCGATGGGGAACCAGTCGCCGCACAGATGCTTCACAGTGTCTATGTCATCGTGGCAGAGGAGGCGCAAGCTAACCTCGCTGAGGGCGCTGGATGGCACCACCTCTGTCATTCACACCTGCACAGAGAGGGAAGCAGTGTCACCCTCACACTCACCTTGTGAGGCAGGTAAGATAGAAGAGCAGAGTATGACCTGTGGGTGTGGTAACTCCTGTCACTGTAGGGAGACTTCTGCCCCACTCTACAAATGAGGAGACTGAGGTTCCAGGGGTGGGGACAGGACAGGTACTCAGGCCCCTCACTGCTCAGTCCAGCTACTGAGGGAAGCCCTGCCACCATCTGGTTCTCTCCTCTCCACCCCCATCTGAGCTGTCCCTGGCGACTCGCTGGCTGGTGTCACGGCTTAAGACAGCAGTTCCTCTTACTTCAAAAAGCACAAGGACTCTGGCCAGCCTGACTCTCTTAATTCCAGGCTTGGTGACTGCCAAAGACAATGATTGGTGCTGTAGCCCCATGCCTCATTCCCCAGTGAGGCAGCCTGGGGGTCAGCACCAGCAAGTGGCTGGATTTCCAGGGAAAGTGGTGCTGACTTTGACACCAGAGGCTGTGTCTGTGCAGATGGCTCATACCTGATTCCTTCTTCCCTACTCAGCAGGTGAAGACTCATGGGTGAGACATTCAAAGACAACAAAGTTCAAATCAGGGGTCATAAGTTGCCAAAGACTCTTAACAGGAAAGAGTGTGTGTACGTATTTATTTTCAGTCTGGGCTAGGAGGGAAGGAGGGAGGGAGGAAGGAAGGAAGGAAAGGAGGGAAGGAAAGGAGGGAAGGAAAGGAGGGAGGGAGGGAGGAAGGGGCCTTTTTTATTTAAGTTGAAAACTGGTCATCAAGAGGAAAAGGATTATACATTTACCCTGCCTTTTTTAGGAGGAATTGTATTCATCCTCAATGGTTGAGGAAAAGTTCTTTTTTTAACAGAAGAATGACAGCTAATTAAAAGCTGAAATAATGAGTCACCATTTTGGAACTACCAATGAAATAACCAAGTCAAGCAAGAATCATGAAAGGCTATTAACTACCAGGTAGATGCTGCCAGGAAGCAGATGCAAGGCAGGGAGACAAGCCCCTGGGCTCCCCAGGATCACTGATTGCCTAAAGACTTTCTTTCCATCTCGAGATTTGGCAGTCGTTACTTTGCCAGAGTGACAAGCCCAGCCTCTGTGACCTCCTGTGCCTTAGATACCACAGTGGGAGGTACCCAAAGTGGTCCAAGGTACAGCTTTCTTGAGGTTTCTACACAACCCCCACTGCACAGGAACACTTCATCCAGTGAAAACGGGAAGGGATCTGGACACTGAGTCTGGCCTCTTCTCTGGCTCAGTCTTAACTAATCAAGCCCTCTAACCTCCTTTGTAAATGGAGGTGGCCACCTCCTCAAAGGACGTGCCAAGAGAGTGAGTGCTCAGCAAAGAGAAAGTGCTCATACCCAAGACCCAGCCCTATCCAGCCACTTCCAGGGATGTCACCTTGACCCACAACAGGGCTAATGCTGACATCTGGGCAGCTTGGCTCTGATTCCTAACTTGTGTCTCTAAGTTCCCGGTCTATCACTGGGGGAGCCATTGCTGGGGGAGAAAGAAGCTTCTCTCTAGGCTTAACCTCCTTACCCCTCAGCACCCAGGGTTCTCAATCCAGGTACTGTTTACCTCAGATACTTTTAAAAATAGTCATCTGGCAAAACATACAACAAAAACTAAAAGTGACAAATGAAGGTGTTAATTTTGTCAGGTAGTGAAAATGGCATTGAGGTTATATATAAAAATGTCCACGTTTTAGATGTGCACAGGATATGCAGGGGGAAAATGACAGAATGTTCTGGAATTTAGTTTAGTTGGAGTAAAAGTATCAAAATGTTAATAGCTGAATCTGGGTAATGGGAACATAAAATAGATGTTAGAAAATAGGTCTAATTGGCTCAGTGCCGGTAGCTCAAGCAGCTAAGGCACCAGCCACATACACCAGAGCTGGCGGGTTTGAATCCAATCAGGACCTGCCAAACAGTGAAAACTCCAACTGAAAAATAGCCGGGCATTGTGGTGGGCGTCTGTAGTCCCACCTACTTGGGAGGCTGAGGCAAGAGAATCGCTTAAGCCCAAGAGTTTGAGTTTGAGGTTGCTGTGAGCTGTGACGCCACAGCACTCTACCAAGGGCAACATAGTGAGACTCGGCCTCAAAAAAAAAAAAAAGAAAAAGAAGAAAGAAAATGCGTCTAATTAAAGCCATCAACCTAACAAACTTCCAATCTCCAGGGAGACTGGATTTCAGATAAGGGTGGAAGGCTTTCCAGGTGACTGAATCATCCTTCCAGGTGACTGAATCACCTGTAGGATGCCTGTGTCGTCCTACACCAAAAGCTCTAGAGAGCCCCTGACAGTACCACCGTCAGCTGCTGGACATTTTGTTGCTGAGGACAGCGAGTCTCTGGTGTGCATCACTGCACACTGAATTACACTTTGCATCCCACAGTACCTGGTTTAGTGTTTATCAGGCTGGAGGGAAGATACCACTTGGGACACAAGTTAGCCAGCCCTCAAACCCCACTGGGGTCTCAAAAGAGTGAGAAGATACCAGGTGTGTCTCTTGAGGACAGGGCACTGTTTATAGGAGGCAGCTAAGGGCAGTTTCTCTCCCTTTCCCTTCAGGACCAATAAAATGTATCCTAGGAAGCCCTTATCCAAACCTTGAGCCTCTGGGGAGTCGCCCTAAACCATTCCAAGCCAAGGCAGAGGCCAGTTCCTCAATTTGCCCTTTCCAGAGATGACTCCTGAGACAGGGGCTACCACACACTGCTGCCTACTGCCTACTACAAGCTGTAGGGGGCCAGCAGGGGGCAAAATGCCTGTCTGCTTTGTAGACCTGAGCAGAGCTCCAGATGCCCCATAGGCTGAGCCCCCTGGTTTCTGAGCTCCCATGGGGCTGCCTCACTTGAATAAGACATCACTGCTCTGCCTTCACCAGAGTGAACAGGATGAGCAAAATCAACAGGTCAGACCAGTGGTAGAACCAGGGCTTGGGGGACCAGAGGTATATCCTCCAGAGAGCTGGGAGCTGCTAGGGCACAGGAGGCAAGGTTAGCATGGCTTTACCTCTATGGCTGCCTGGGGCAGGGCACTGACTGGAGGCTGGGAGTAGGGGGGTGACTTCCTAAGGGGATGAAAATGTTCCATATCTTGGGTAAGCCGTGGTGGCTCACACCTGTAATTCCAGCACTCTGGGAGGCCAAGGCAGGTGGATTGGCTGAGCTCATGAATTTGAGACCAACATGAGCTAGATAGAGACCCCATCTCTAAAAATAGCTGGGCATTGTGGCAGGCACTTATAGTACCAGCTACTTGGGAGGCTGAGGCACGAGAATTACTTCAGCTCAAGAGGTTGTGAGCTATAACACCACGGCATTCTACCAGAGGTGACAAAGTGAGACTGTCTCAAGAAAAAAACCCTCACTGAACTGTACACTTAAAATGGGTACATTCTATGGTGTGTGTGTATATTAAGCTTTGGTAAAGTTGATTTTATCTTATTTATTTTTGAGACAGAGTCTCCAGCTGTCGCCCTGGTTAGAGTGCCATGGCGTCATAGCTCATAACAACCTCCAACTCTTGGGCTCAAGTGATCCTCTTGCCTTAGTTTTTTATTTTTAGTAGAGTTAGGGGTCTCGCTTTTGCTCAGGCTGGTCTCAAACTCGTGAGCTCAAGCAATCCACCCACCTCGGCCTCCCAAAGTGCTAGGATTACAGGTGTGAGTCACCATGCCCAGCCTGGTAAAGTTGATTTTAAAAAACTCTGTATTGGCCAGGCATGGTGGCTCACTCCTATAATCCTAGTACTTTGGGAGGTCAAGGCGGGAGGATTCCTTGAGTTTAAGAATTTGAGACCAGCTTGAGCAAGAGTGAGAACCTATCTCCACTATAAACAGAAAAATAAGCCTGGCATTGTGGTGGGTGCCTGTGGTCCTACTTACTCTTGAGGCTAAGGCAGGAGGATTGCTTGAGCCAGGAGTTTGAGCTTGCTGTGAGCTAGCTAGGCTGATGCCACGGCAAACTAGCCAGGGCCACAGAGTGAAGACTGTCTCCAAAAAAAAAAAAAAAAAACCAAAAAACCCCCCCAACTCTATATTATGCCTTGATAGTGAAAGGAGAGATCTATAATAAATTTGTATCTCTTATGTCATGGGATTACATGTATCCCCCCCCTTGACCCCAGTATCCTTGGGACAAAGCTCTTGACCACAGGGACATCATTTGTGCCCAGTTCAACTCTGAAGAAAAACACTGGGCTCCAAGACATACAACCACGTTTGGATTCGTGCATCTCTACTAAAAATACTTCCATGTTTCCAAAGGCCAGTTCTTTAGACATCTCGATTTAAAAATAGAAACATGTCATATTTAACAAAGAGAAAAACCCAGCACATGGCAGGGTCTGATCTGTCCCAGTCCAACTAACAGATGGCAGAGAAGAGGCAGGTGGTGCGTGGGAGGGAGCATCTGGGACCATGAGGCTGGCCAGCAGGTCTGCCACTGGGGAAAGAAATGAGGGGGAATCATGTGTTCCGCTGGTGCTGTGGCCTACCAGCTTCACCTTAGAGCTGGGGGTTTGTGCTAATCCAGCAGCGCAGATGACCCAAAGGCAGAGTTGGTAGCCAGAAAGCTACTCTCTGCCCACCCACCATCTGTGCCCAGGGTCACAGAGGCCTAGGGGAGAGGAGAGGGGCTGGCTACAAAGGGCCACCCTGTGCCCAGCTGTGGGAGGAGATGAAGCTGGCTGAAGGGAAAACTTGTGATGAAGTGGGGACTCTAAGCAGTTTTTCTGTTTGTCTGTTTTTGAGACAGAGTCTTATTTTGTCGCCCTCAGTAGAGTGCCAGGGTGTCACAGCTCACAGCAACCTCAAACTCTTGGGCTTAAGTTATTCTCTTACCTCAGCCTCCCAAGTAGCTGGGAATACAGGTACCTGCCACAATGCCCGGCTCTTTTTTTGTTGCAGTTGTCATTGTTGTTTAGCAGGCCCAAATGGGTTTGAACTGGCCTCCCTTGGTATAGGTGGCTGATGCCTTAACCA